GCTCTCTGATCATTCTTTAGCCTTGATTAGGCCTCGAAGCTCCACCTTCGGGTAGGAACCATATGTGGCCGAAAGTGGGAGGTCCCTCCGGACATGCGACAAATACACATTGCAATACAAGCACAAGCTGAATATCTGCTGCATTCTCCGCGCAAGACCCTTCCACTTTCGGCAACATATAGTTCTCCACCCAATTGGTAGTATAAAACAAAACAAAACAATTGTACAAAACATAACTAGCTCGATACTTTACAATCGCTATTCGCCTCCCTCCTAATCAGCGTCCAGAGATGCCCATGTGCTGGCGCTTTGCCAACTCTCCAGCACCGCGCCAGCGCGGGCTGAAACAGAGCCGGAATCAGGGGGAAACACATACTGATGAACGATCGTCGCTAACACTGGCAAACCTTAGCCATTCGACTGCCCCTCTACATTGAACTGGAATCACATTCCACTATGGCTCCTGGACATTTCAGTGGGGGCACAAGGATGAGGGAGGAGGGGAGGGGGGACTTGCGTGACCCGGGAGGTAGCATGTGCATCCTGCGTCGGCACGATTATGGGCGCAGTAAAAAAGTGCAGATGAATACTCCGACATGATGGTAATTACGAGTTTGTGAAATACGTCCATTTACAGGGTCCTGCCTATTATTGTACTGGAAAATCGAAGAACTATGCTTCATCTAATTGCTGACGACAATTTGCTGAACGAACACTCTTTTGATATCCCCGCCTTCCCTAAGCTTAAAACACTGAGCCTTGATGTAAACAGGGTAAGTATTAAGCACTAAGGCGTAGCCGTCCTCATCCAAATAAGCATCAGGTGGAAAGTTTCGAATTATAGTTTTTCAGTTTGATTTGCTTTAGATGGTGCCTGCTCAACCGCGAACGGTCCCACTCCAAGTAAATCGTCATTTAGATGAGGACGGCTATAGTCATGTATGACTTTTGTTAATAGAATCTTTTCGCTAGGTTCGAGACGTCCCAACTCTCCTCTACAATCTGCGCAGGTCTTGTCCCAACCTCACTTCTCTGAGCATAATAGGAAATCCAGGTTGGACTGTTGTCTGCAACAGATCAAGCCGTCTAAACAAACAATACAGGTACCTTACAATCCTCCTTTTTGATCTCTTTCAAAACTGGAACATTTTCAGAAATGCTGCGCTGGATATGCTACCTTTACTACAATCACTAGACGCGAAAACAACTTTCAAAGTTCGCAGAAAATCAAGTATCTCCAGTTGTTCAACGATCTCATCCATACTAACTTTAGCAACCCGAAAGATGTGAACTTTATGATTCTGATCCTGTACATACTCCTCCTAATAAAATTGAAGGAATGGACTGTGCTTTTACCGTACTGGTTACACGATCATATACCTGTGAGAATCATATACCTTTACGATAGCTTTTCATCTACATGTACCGGACTCTAATATAACTTCTAAGAGACAAGACAGAGACAACGGTTCCGCCAAATCTTGCAACGAAGCAGCAAGTTTTTAAATCACTAAACACCAGTTAAACGAAGTACGTTCAATGATTGTGGCCGTTTGATATAAGATGCATGTCGGCTAAAGTACTTTTGAAGCTGATTTCAAATCTGCATTCCATTTCTGCGGAATGCTTTTCTGAGAGTTATGTAAGCGTAACGTCCCGTTTTTGGGGCGCTGAGTCTGAAGCGGGTGCGTAGGTTGGTGGTGTAGTGCTGTAATGGTTAGCCTGCTGGCATTAGAGGCGAGAGGACAATGGTTCGAATCCGAAGGAGAGACTCTTGCTAGATGGAGCTGTGCAAGGAAATTCTCTTCCTTACGGTCAGATATGCGAGCGTGTGTCTGCGGAAAATCTTAAATGCGTATCTAACTCATAGCTAACACGCAAAAGAGTTTGTCTCTCCACTAAATTCGAACCATTGGCCTCATTCCTCTGAAGCGATCGCGCTAACCACTGCATGACCGCACGGATGGAGACGGCGGCATCAAAAGAGGAGCACACAACAACGCCCTTCTAGACTCCCATAAATTTCTACAGAAGAAGGCTCCGCAGAAACCGAATACAGATTCGAAATTAGCGTTCAAACGAGCTCCGATGTGCGTATATATCAAATGGCCAAGTCCATCAAGACTTACCTTGTAAGCGATTCAATGCATTCTGTTACTATTATAATTACTATTATAAC